GGCGAGGTGGTGCGGGGTCGTGCTGGGGCAAGGTGGGGCGGGGTTGGGGTGGCCGCACCGATTTTGAGGTGCGTAAGCGAGGCGTGTCGGGCCCCGCAACGACTGCCAGGGGACCGTGCCGACGACGCGACGCAGCTCTGTCGACCTTCTCTCTCTCTCTCTCTCTGCCCCCTCTCTAGCACCTCCCTCCCTCTTTCCCTACAGGTCCAGCACAAAGGAGCAATGTGAATGTGATGGTGAAAAAAGGGAACGCCATGGCCCTTCGATGGGACTGCGAATGATAGAGCGGAGAATGAGAGTCAACCGTACCGCTTGCATGCATTTTGAACGATCGGACGAATGTACTAATCGTAAGGGTGTTCGAAACCCTCAAAAGAAAAAACAAGAAGGAAAGGAAACACAAAATTAATTTTGTGTGAATACTGAGACTCGTTCTTTACAGAGACCCTTTCAGTTCTGAGTTACTTTACATGGTTGTAGAATCAACGAGTTTTGTCCTGTCAGCATGTGTCACGTTTCTTTGAGAATATATATTATTACTAAACATGTGCCATATGAAACTGGAAATGCTGATGGTCATTTAACTGATATTTCTAACTATTTCACGATTTTATCACTGATGACGCTATTCTGGACATTATTGGGCATTCCCTTCAGTTCACAAGAGCATTGTTGCAAAAGTCGGCGCTTTCAAAAAGACGCGCGTTCCGTGAAAACCGATAAGAATATGAATTTAGAGCCGCCATTTACCAGCGGACGGGACTTAGACTGAAAACTTGTGAAATCTGTTAAGAGTTCTCAAAATATTGCTATTAGACTGAAAAAAATCTTCATTGCTTCCAGCAATACTAGCAGATGAAGTTTCGAATGGTAGTATTGTCATGTCTGAATGCGCTTTGTGTTTCAAGATGAAGATTCGTTGTGCGGCGGGGTCTATCGACTTAGAACGAAAACCGGCGAAATTTGTTAAGAGTTCTCCAAAAAGTAGTGTCAAACTTGAAAAAAGTTCCATTGTTGGTCACGCCTCCAGCATTTCCAGTTTCGAATGGTATAAGTATCATAAATGTACATATTCTGTACCGCGAGAATGATTAGCGTTACGCGTGACATCGCACTGAGATCAATACTCGTTCTTCTACCACTGAGTAGGTGCAGGTGGTGGTAAAGAACGAGTAAAAAATCCGCGGTGCACGATTGGCTTTCCGACAATTAGAGGTGACGCAGGAATCCCCTTTGAAATGGCACGTAAATAATGCATACTTGTTTCTGTATTATACTGGCAATAAAAAGGATTGCGTTTTTCAGCAAGGAGCGCCCTGAGGGGGTAATCACTACGAGAAAATGCGTACACCTCAACTTTTCACTTTTCCACTTTCCTTTAATTTTTCACAGTTTTACAAAGTTTTCTTCATTTCTATGCCTTTATCCCCTCTATTTTATTCATTTTTGATCTTATCAACACACAATTAGTCACTTTTGTCCACATTTTCTTTCAGTTTTTGCCACTTTCAGTCAACTTTCTGTCACTTTCACTTTAAATTTTATAGAAATGTGTACACCTTCTTTCTGAAGTGATTACCCCCTCGGAGCGCCCTGTACATAGAGGGCACATACCACGGACGCGCAAAAATTTGCCATACTTTTAAATGTACAATAAATATCCCTCACTGACATGTGTCAGTGCAGCGGGGGCCAGCGACGCGTGCAGCGTGCAGCGCCACCGACGGGCGGCGGAATGCAAACGAGAAGCAAACAAGACTATCATCACTTTGGAAATGGCCTGCGCCGCCACTGATAACGGCGCGTGCGAAACAACTCCCCCCCCCCTCTCTCTCTCTTGCGCGGAACTGAACGAAAAGGAAGGGAAGGGGGGGGGGGAGAAAACAAGCAGTATTGTGTGTGGGAGGACGGTGGAGGGGGTGAGGCGTGGAGCAGACGGTGTTCCTGTCGCGAGGGAGGGTGATGCGTGCGGGAGATAAAGATTGGGGCGTTTTGAGGGATGTAGGAGAGGGGGGGGGGGGGGGGACCAGAGGGATCTATGGGAGGGCACAAACTACTCGACTGGAACAGGACGGCGCGAGACCGGGAGCGAGCAGGTTCTCACCAGAAATGTGTTCCTACCCTCTTACAACGTACAAGAAGGCCCACCCTTCCACCAAACGGAGTTGCCAGCTCCACTAAGCTTCGTTGATGTGCGAGATAAAACTCTAAATAATTATACTGAATGAATATTATATACAATTCAGGATTGAAGACATACAGAGAATGCAATAGTGAAAACCAAGGGTCAATCAAGATAGCAAAAAACCAAGTAAATGCAACACATTGTTTTGAAACAGTCTCATCGGGGAATATTTCGAGGAAGGAGCATCTTTTTAGTTAACTTCAGATTGCGATCAGCTTTGCAATCCCTTAGTTTCGGGTGGCAACCCTCTCGACACGCAAAACACTTCGCGTCTTTACAATAAAAGCCACCGTCGCTGGGCACAAGAAGCTGGAGCGTGGGGTTCACGTAGAGCAACGTGTTAACAGCGTCGTTGTGCAGCCAGGAGTGAGCGCAAATACGGCGCAAACTGCCCAGCCTCTGCAACAGCTCCCACGTCGGACCGTGCAGCGTGAGGGTTTGCAGTGCCGGGGCTGACGCTGGACTCATGCCCAGCAGCAGTGCGTCTGGTGATGCACGCACCTCCAGGTGTCGCAGGGCCGGCAGGAAAGGCAGGGCGGCGAGCAGCGGCTGCGCTTGGGGCAGGTCCTCGTCCAACCCACCGTTACGGATGGTCAGCGACTCGACGGCGGACCGCCCGGACGCGGCCAAGGCCAGCACCAAGCTCACGCCCACGTCAGTGACGTCGCGGGCTGCGGTTTGGTAGTCCAGGGTGACCGCGCGCAGCCGTAGGGCGCGGGAAAGGAGCGCCGCGGCCCCGCGTTCGGCAGGTTGATCTTCAGGCAGCACTGCGAGGCTAAGCTCCCTCAGCGACTCGGAGTCAGCCACGGCCTCCAGCCCAGGGAGTATACGGCAGCGCAGCTTCCGCAGTTAATGAGTGTGGGCGTGTGTGTGCTTGTGGGTTACCAATTCCATAGCAGTCAACAGTACCTTGCAGCTACCTTGCAAATTGCAACCCTCCCCGCTCCCCCAAGCTTCTTTTAAGTTTCCATCTAACAGTCGGTGTCGGCGTCATTTGTATCAGCTGGAGAAAATCATGGTGGTGTATGAAATACAAAACGCATAATAACTTTACTAAATGAATGTAATATATATTTCACGATTGAAGACTTACAAAGAATATAACAGCGGGAAACCAAGGTGACACAAACATTGTAACAATCAATTTCATAGGGGAATGTTTCGAGGGACAAGCATATTTTGAGTTAACTTCAGATTTTGATCATCTTTGCAATCCCTCAGTTTCGGGTGGCAGCCCTGTCGACACGCCACACAACTATTTAGCAATCCACAATAATAGTAAGAGTAAGTAGGTATAAGAAGCTGGAGCGAGGGATTTACGGACAGCAGTGTGTTAACAGCGTCGATGTGCAGCCAGGAGTGAACGCAGGCATGGTGTTTACAACACGTAACGGTATCGAGCGAATCAGAAATACGATCGTTATACCTGTGCCATTCGAAATCCAACGACGGACGGCGCACCGAGAGGGTTTGCAGCGCTGGGGCTGACGCTGGACTGATGCCCAGCAGCAGCGCTTCTGTCAGTACACCCACCTGCAGGTGCCGCAGGGCCGGCAGGTAAGGCAGAGCGGCGAGCAGCGGCTGCGCTTGGGGCAGTTCGTCGTTCAACTCACTGTTAAGGAAGGTCAGCGACTCGACGGCGGACTGTCCGGACGCGCCCAAGGCTAGCACCAAGCTCACGCCTAGGTCGAGGTCGCAGGGTGCGAGTGTGTAGTCCAAGGTGACCGCCCGCAGCTGGTTGGCGCCGGAGAGGAGCGCCGCGGCCCCGCTGGCGCTAGGCTGGTCTTCGGGCCGCACGTCGAGGGTAAGCTCTCTCAGCGACGCGGAGTCCGCCACAACCCCCAGCCCGGGGAGCATACGGCAGCGCAGCCTCCGCAGATTGGGCAAGCCTGCCAGAAGAGGCGCCAACGAGGTCAACTTGGAGCAGCTGTCGCTCTTGCCAACGAGAACAACCTCTTTTAGTGCATTGGCGTTCGCCGCTATCACTAAGGCGCAGAACGATGCTGACTCTGGACGAAGTTCACACTCGAAGTATTCTAGGGACGCCGAGGTGAAGTAGAGCGAAACCAGACTTGGTTTACTCGCTGTGATACCCGCAACTACGAGCCTTTTCAGGTCGGGCATCGACGCTACTGTCGCCAACAGCACGGAGGCATCGTCCCCGTTCTCGTCTTCCTCGTCTAACTCTATCTGAACAGCCCGTAGGCGACCGAGCTCCTCTTGGCGTCGGATAAATAGAGAAGCTAGTGCGACGGCCCCGCGCTCACTTACGTTCACCGACACCGCAACGGTTCTGGCAGCACACCTGGTCAGGGCTAACAGCAGTTGGGAACAAAACGTCTTGTTCTCGCCGCAGTAGTCGCTGATGTTGATGTTCAAGGAATCCGAACAAGGCGCCACGCGCAGCACCGGGCAAACGCATTCCTTCCACCATTCACGTCGGCCGCCGGGTCGGTCTCGCCAAACGTCAGGATGAACGGCCACGGCCCCGATCCTCTTGCACACGAGGCGGCAGGTGAAGAGGTCCGTCAGGTCCAAGTACTGAATCACATTGACCATCGCATTGTCCGGCAGCCGCTCCATGTTCTGTGAGAGACCGAAAATAAACAATATTAACCCTACCGCTCACGAGGAGTGTAAGAAAATTATGAGGATGAATGTTTTTTAACTTAATTAGGCAGTTTAACTCGTTTGCGGAGTGCGGAGTATCCGTAGTATGCGTAAGTTTTGGGCCGCGCTCGAGGCGACTGAGCGGGGTAGGGGTGGAAG